TGGTGGTGGTGGTGGTGATATCTTCAGCTTCTCAGGGGGCCGAAAGCCTCAGGTCCCCACTCCCCACCCCACCAGCTCTCACCCAGCTGGCCTCACGCTAACCTCTGAGTTTATGGTGGGGTGGGTGAAGGCGTGCTAGACACTCAAGGCAGCATCCTGCATTAGCTCCACCTGTCAGCGATACTGACCACCTGCCGCTCAAGTACCGACACTTGATCCTGTTCCCTTTCTCCATCCCCTCCCCCTGCCAAAGCTGTTGCTGCCAAATTCTAGACTCTTGAAAGGAACTGTCATGGCAGGGTGGAGGCACAGGCCACAAAGTTCCCAGGACATCACGGGGAGAGTTGGGGGAGGAAGGTAGAGGAAAGGGGCAGGGGTGGTGCTTCTCCCCAGGAGCAAAGCTGGTTAGAGCCAGAGGCTCTGGAACCAGACCTGGGCTCAAATCCTGACTCTTCTACAAACTGGGACCTTGGATCAGTGACTACCTCTGAGCCCTCCTCTCCTGTAAAATGGAAATGATACTATTCCTACTGCCTAGGGTTCTAAGGATGCGGCCGAAGGAGGCAGGAGCCTGGCTTAGCACAGAGGCTGGCCCAGCAGGCTGGGTGAGCGCGGCCGTGGTGCGTCCCCCAGCAGCCACCCTCAGCCCCTGGCACGTGGCAACCTGGCCCTGCCCGCTCGTCAGTTGGCAGATGGCGCCCCAGCCCAACTCACCACCTGCCTGCCGGCGGCCCAGGTGGCAGCGGGGACGCGCGTCGGCCGGAGCGGCGCTCGTGGGAGCCCGGCCTGCTGGACGGCGCCTGGCGGCGGGGGCGCCTTAAATAGCACGCGGGGCGGGGTGGGGTCAGGAAGCGGCGGGAGGGCGGCGGGCGCTGTTCCGAGCCGAGCGGGGGCGGGACGGGAGGTGCAGTCTCCCTGAAGCCACACTCAAGGAAGGGGCCCGGGAGGTGGCACTGGGGGTCGAGAGGGAAGAGGATGAGAAACCGCTGCTTTCCATGTCTGCCCTCCGAGGTCTTCAGGCCGACAGACTCCCCCAGCCTCAGCTTCCTTGGCTGTGGAACAGGTTCTCCCGGAGGGGGTTTCGGGGTTGTGAGTTTCCCAGGGTGGCTACATTTGAAAGGATTGCAGCCAGAAGTTTCTGATCTCAGGCAACTGGCCTGAGAGGCTGTGAGAGATGGGCGGGTGGGGATGAGGGTGAGGGGGCCTCTAGGGAAGGGCATCTCCTTGACCCCCTTGGTGAGAAGGGAGAAGACCCCTCATTTGTGGGGTGGCCACGGGGTGCCCCCTGCAGTGCCAGGACTTGGTAATCAAGACTCGTTAGGGCATGGGGAACCACACCGGGAGAGAGGGGTTATAATCTGCCCTCCCTGGCATCTGTGGTGGAGCTGGGGTCCCTACCCAGCCCCTGTTCTTGCAGAATTCTCAAACATCCCCACTCCTGGGCAGGCTACACAATCAGAGGGCACTAAGCAGTGCCCATGGACCACGTGAGACTGGGGAGGTGATGGCTGGGGGGGACTCTCCCGACCTTTAGCTTGGATCCCATTCTCATGTCTCTAAATACGGGGTGGGGGGAGACATCCAAAGGAATTAGGGGTGGGCAGAGCCTGCCATTGTTCATTCAGGCATCATCCTGTGTGTGAACACTCGTGTGCTGCAGGCACTGTATGTGGAGCTGGGGACTTCACCACAAACCAGCCAGATGTGGTCTCTGGCCTGGGGCTCCCACTGGCTGGAGCAGAAGGCGGGAACTGAGCATATCAGCCCTTGGGTTAGAGTAGATGCACAAAGTTCTGAGAACTACCAGACTCAGAGGGACTTGGTTAGGAGCGTTTCCTGGAGGAGACTGCGCTAGCCACGTCGATGGACACAATCAACAATCTATAGTCGGAATAGAAAAGAGTTTTATTTGAGCCAAATTGAGGATTCTTGTCCAGGAGATAGCCTCTCAGATAACTCTGAGGAACTGCTCTGGGAAGCATGGTTTTCAGCACAGTTTATATCTTGTCAGAGCAAAGAACATCAAACAAGTCAGGGATACATTCCTTCAAGGTTTCAAGAAAAAACAAAAACCAGAAAACTCCAAACCCCCAAAAAGCACAGCTCAGCAGCACACAGTGAGTCAGTACGGCCTTGGCACCTGGGAAAGGGAGTCATCATCGGAGGAGTAGCAGCACTGGCGTCCCAGGAAGGGAGGCATGTTGTGATCTTTATTTTTAACATGAACGTTCTTTACTTCTGGTCAATGCACCCTTTTCTTTAATAATTAAAGCAGATGAACAACGTAGGTTTGATAGGTCACAAACAGGCTGTTTTAGTTAGCATAAAATTCGAATTAACTCATGTACAATATGTGAAACTTGCTTTCGTCAGCCAGATGGGGGTTGGGGGGAGAGCATTCTAGGCAGAAGAACAGCATGAGCAAAGGCCCAAGGACTGGGGGCCGCGAGGTCCCGAGGCTTCACCGGCCTTGGTGGGAGAGGCAGTAGGGCCTAGAAGTTGAGACTTTTCTGTTTATCTCTGTGCCCTTAGGCACGTTGCTTAAACCCCTGTGCCTCAGTTTCTTCCTCTATAGATTGGGGAGGTAATAGTTCCTACTGTATAGGGCTGATGGGAGATCCAATCAAAGCACATAGCATATTATTAGTACACAGGAAGTTTTCCAGTGGATGGTGGCTAAAAACGTAACAAAACATTTTTGTGACAAAAAGAGTCAGTGGGTTGGTCTTGGTGGGAGCAGAAAGGGCTGAAAGGGAGGGAGCTGGGGTCAGAATGTTGGTGAAGGATAGGGCAGCTAAGGAAAGGGAATGTGGCAGGTGGGGTCCAAGGCCTGGGGCCGGTGTCAGAAAGGTCCTGTGTTTCTCCACAACAGGATTCAATCTTTGGATTCCTGGTGCCCAGGGTCCTGCCTTCAGCCCTCGCAGGAGGACCTCTGGGGCAGCAAGTGTGGTGGGCTCAGCCCAGACCTCAACTTCAGGAGGCTGAGCTAGCTTCCCCTTACAGGACTGTCCCTCAGGGCCATGAGGAGCTGAGCCTTCTGGATTTCCAAAGCTGAGGAGGAGGCCACGAAATTCTGACCCCTGAGGGCATGAGAACCGAGGTCCCTGGAGGCGGGTTCTCACCACGCCCCCACTACAGCCTCTGCTCCCAGAGTTCCTCTCCTGTGGCTGAGCCCAGGCCCTCCCAAAGCCTTTGTGATCCCAGCTACTGGGAAGGAGGGAGGAGCTGCCCTCACCCTCACCCCTTCCTTAGGGGCTCTGGAGGTTAGAGTTTGAGTGATCCCTCCCCTTCCTGGAAAGGATGAGCCAGGGTCGGCCAAGACAATCCCACAGCCTGGCCATTCCACCTGGGAAACATCCTTAGATTCCCCACACCTCCCTCTGTCCCCACTGCCCTGACCCTGTTTAGGCCACCATCTCAGTGGCCTCCCAACTGGTCTCCTGGCTTCCAGCCCAGCCCCACCCTTCCCCAGAAATCAGACCACACGCTGCCCTGCTTAGAACCCTTCTGTGGCTCTCCTTTGCCTCCTGGCCTCAAGCACCTCTCCAGCCTCCTCCCTCTTCCCCTTTCACTCAGGGATCCAGCCATACTTGACTCTGGCCTTTGTCCGTACTATCCCCTCTGGCTGGGGCACCCTCACATGCTCAGCCCTACAGTCGTTCAGGACCTTGCTCCACGTCCCTTCCCCCAGAAGTCCCCTTGCTGGCCTCCTCTGGATTAGATGAGCCTTTACGTTCTCAGCGGCTCACCTACTGCCCCTGGGTGCGCTGTTTAGTCGTGTTACATACATTCACATTGTTGTGCTACAGATCTCCAGAGCATTTTCATCTTGCAAAACTGAAACTCTATACACATGAAACCATGCCCATTTCCCTTCCCCCCACCCAGGGTGCATTGTTTACTTGTCTTTTGCTTTACCCCCTTGCCTATTAGTCTGTGAGCCCCTTGAGGGCAGGCAGCTGAGTCCTGTTTACATGCCCAGCACCTAACCTAGCAGGGCCCCAGGCTCATATACGAATTTATGAATTCAACAAATTATTTACTGAGCACTGCCTGGTGCTGCGGCTCTGTCCTAGACCCTGGAGATCAACCAGGAACCAGCGATAACAAAACTCCCTGTCTTGTGGGCTTTACATTCTAGCCGGAGGGAGACAGACAAAATATAGAATGTGTTAGCTGGTGATACCTGTTAGGTGGAGAGTAAAGCAGGAAAGGAGGATCAGGGCGCAGCGGGTGGTGGTTTCAATTTTGAACAGAAGAAGGGAGAAATTCTCATGAAGCAGCTGACCTTTGATGCGGGCCCTGAAGGAAGGGAGGGACCCCTGTGGCTCTTGGGAGGAAAGCACATTCCAGGCAGAGAGAGTGCAAAGGCCCTGAGGCAGGAATGTGCCTGGTGTTTACTGCCTGAGGGAGAGCAGGGAGGTCAGTGTGACTGAGTGAGGTCAGCAAGGAGAAGAGATGAGGGTTCAGAAAGGGAACAGGTGGGGCAGGTCTTGGAGGCCCCTAAAGGCCAGTGTGAGATGCCTTTGGAGGTTTGGGGCAGAGGAGTCACATGGCCTGATTTAAGTTTTATGGCATCACCCTGGCTGCTGTGCTGGGAATAGACTGTGGGAGTGGGTGGTGGATGCAGATCTCCCCCTTCAATGGAGGACTCGCTGCCCAGCTGTGCGGAGTCTGGCCAGCTGACAGCCTCCAGGTCTGCTTCAGCTGTGCAGGTGGCCAGGCTCTGCTTGGGGTGGCCCCAGGCAATGGCTGAGCCAAGCTGGTCAAGGGCCCAGCCATTTCCATCCAGTGTGGGATTACTCTCACCGACCATCTTTGTCTAACTGACACAGAGCTCCCACGAACGGGTCTTGTCGCTCGGTCCTGCTTCCTCCCCTTTCCATTCACGGGTGTTCCTCCCCAGCATGCCCTTTGCACGCCTCTCTTTTGCAGCATCTACTTCCCAGAGTTGGAGCAGGAAGCAGGGAGATTATTGCAGTGATCCAGGTGATAGATGATGCAGGTGTCTCAGCTCGGACTGCTGTAAAAATACCACAGACTGGGTGGCTTAAACAACAGAACCTTATTTCTCATAGTCCTGGAGGCTGGAAGTCCAAGATCAGGGTGCCAGCCTGGTTGGGTTCTTGGTGAAGAGGCCCTTTTCCTGGTTTATATCGGACTGTCTTCTGAGTATGTTTTCACATGGCAGAGAGCGAAACACCATCCCCCTCATGTCTCTTCTCATAAGAACACAAATCCATCCTCATGACCCCACTTCCCAAAGGCCCCACCTTTTAATAACATCACACTGGAAGTTAGCGTTTCAACATATGAATTTTGGGGGAGACACAAACATTTAGTCCCTACCAAGGGGCTTGGATCAGGGTGATGAATACAAAATAATCTATTTGCCTTGGGCTGCAGGGTGGCTGTCACATCCTGAAGTAGATGTGGACTCGAAAGTGTGTATATGAAATCTAAGTCATAAGCACTATTGAAGGAAGCTTGCAATGACTCCTCGCGTGATTGGGGGAAGAGGAGGTAGAGGTGTGTACCCTCATAAGAGAAGACCAGGGGACATGAGATGTGTGCTGGGGACTCTGCATGGTGAATAGTAGCTCAATACATGCTGGATGGAAAGCGTGAGCGGCACTGCTGGGGACAGCTCTCAGGCCAAATGTGGGATGCTTAGGGCTGGAATATTCCCTCATCTGTGGTCCTGGCCTGCAGCTTGGAGAAGTGGGACCAGGACTGGAGGCTCAGTCCATGCTGGGATAGCTGATGTTGTTCTCTGGTTGCTCTGACCTCAAAGCCATCCTTATCCAGGCAGTGGGAACCGTCCTGGAAGATGCTGGAATGCAAGACAGCAAATCGGTAGAGATCACCCCCTCCCTGGGACCTTGGCAACCATCCACTCCAAGCTGGGACTGACACACGAGATGGCCTGGGCAGCAGGCAGAGACTTTCCTAAGCATGGTTGTGCCTGGATATGTTAGCACTGAACTAACATGTTATGACACTGTCTCCTTTTATCTCTACAACAATCCTAGGAGTGGATACTGTCCTGAGTGCTGGGCTGAATATGTTCCTTTTGCCCCTCAGATCTGCTCTGTGCCCTGGGAGGCTGACCCATACTGACTGTCTCAATAGGCTTCTGTGCCCTCTGGTTTCTGGTTGTGTTGGGTCAGTGGGAGCCACTGGCAGATGAGTAGGAGATGGTAGAGTGAAGTCATGGTATTTATTTGATTGCTGCGGTTGGATGCATCCTTGCAGCCTTTGTGTGGCAACCCGTCCATTGCTACCCTGGTACTAGCCCCAGGGTACCTCTTATGGGTTTCCTTAATCATGCCTATACCTTCAAAAACAGTCCCTCAAGGAAACTCTTTGAAGTTCCTTGGTTTGAATGTGCCATCTGTTTCCTGTTGAGACCCTGACTGATAAAATTCCCATTGTATTGATGACAAGACTGAGGTTCTGAAAGCCTGTCCAAGGTGCAGCATGGTGAAGCTGTGGTCATGAAGTGGTTAGGCTATGATTTAATCTGGGAGGTGAGTGTCAGCCCGGCCCGGGCCCTTTAAACTTGGCTGGCTTATCTACCACAGTAACGACCACATGTGAGAGCAAAGGTGAACCCCAGCCTGTCCTGTTGACACAATGACCTGTCCTTTCCCTGCCTGCATTGGCTCTTGGCTCACTGCCTCCTAGATTTCTGGCTCCTGGCCTTGGCTTTGATAGTTACTAAATGTTCCTCTGGGTGAGTATAGCCTTGCACCCCCTTTTGCTTTCCATCCTGTCCTGGCTTGGACGTTGGTGTTCCTGAAATTTCAGGTCATCACACAGTGCTGGGAGTGGGGCTGGGATCCACCTGGGGTTGGTTAGTGCAGGAGATGAGTGTGTCTCTGTCTCCCCCAGGCTCTGAGCTCCTTGGGCTCAGGTCATACTCCCCATGTGCAGTCCTCATGTCTGCCAGGGGCCTGGGATGGAGAAAATGCTCAGGGAAAATGGAAGGAGCTGGATAGTGCTTGGGTGAGGCTGGCGCTTTCATGCCTTTAGAGTAGCCTGTTGTGAGCATACAGGAGTGAGAGTATGAATAACAGGGATTTTGTGTACACAGGGTGGGGATGCACGTTGTGGGTGGCAGCGACTGGGTTACAAAGGAGGAAGGAGTGTGGTTTGTCTGCAACCAGAGGGCTGTTACTGTGTGCGCTCAGGGCAGGGCCTCACTATGAAGGGCTAGCGGTGCTGTTGTAGAGGGAGCACAGCGCCCTCTTGTGACCACATCTACAATCACAGCATGTATATCTGTAGGTTCCACCCCAGATGCCTCCTGGGTCAACCCCAGCCCCAGCCTAAATTCAGCTCGAGCCATGGAGCTCTCTCCTGTTCTGAGGGGCTACCTTCTATGCCCTCAGGGTCTTGTGGGTGGGAGTGTGGGAGAAAAGAAGAGAGTCAACCTGTATAAAAGACAGCCTTTATTGATTTCAAAGAAATTGCCTTGGGGATGTTCCTATCAGCACATCCACCTCAAGTCCCTGAGAGTAGGGTCTGAAAGGCTGGCAACAGACTGAGTACACTTGTGGGAGGAAGATGGGAGCAAAGCTGCCTGAGGGTGGAGGAATAAGATGGGGAGCGGGTTCCCAAAGGGCAGTGGTGACCCAGAGGATCTCTGGGTGTCCCAAGCCGGGGTTGGTGTCACCAGAGTTTACTCCTCCTCTTCCCAGGCTCACTCTCAGCCTCCAGACCTCCACTGCTGGCAGGTTACTTCCTTTCCATCCCAGGAATCTGGGTGCTTCTCCCGAAGGAATGAAGATTCCCTTTGGTCTGGTACATCTCACCAGACCCAGGGCAAGCATCTTTCCTTTTGTGGCCTCTGCACCTGCTTTTGTCTGCTAGGAAGCACTTCTCACCTCTCTTAAACATTCCTCCCTCAGGGAAGCCTCTCCCCATCATCCCCTCCTGGCTTAGGTGAAGCCCAGCAGAGTCCTCTAAGTGTCCCCTTCCTTGCAGGCAGTAGTTAATTTGCTTGTCTTTCTCCCAGGAGGGCTGCCAGTGGGCCTGTGGTGTGACCTATACCAGATAGACAGCACAGTGCCCAGTGCTCAAAACAATCTGCTAAAGGTGAAATTGAATAGCGTAGTGAATTCAGAGTGGGGCCCCCCCAGCCCCGGGAGGACCCCGCCACCAGCACAATACCTCCCTGCCTGTCCCCACGGGCAGCCCAGGATCGCTGCACAGCCCGTGGTCAGGTGGGGGTCATGTTGGGTGCCGAAGCACATAGCTTGTCGTCGCTGGAATCCGGGCCCAACTCCCCGGCCTCCACCAGCTTGTGGTGGCAGCGGCAGGTGGAGGCCTGGCTGGCAGAGGACGGGGGGCCACGGCCCCGGAGGCCACTCTTTCTGGGAAGGCTTCGCATGACCCTGTGGAAGACGAGGTAGCAGATCTCGCAGAAGGTGAGCACGATGCAGACGGCGGAGGCGCCCACCATGAAGTAGGTGAAGAGCTTCTTCTCGGTGGGCCGGGCGACATAGCAGTCCACGACGTTGGGGCAGGGGGCCACGCCGGCGCACTGGACCAGGCGGGGCATGCTGAAGCCGTACCAGAGCGTGTGCAGCAAGTAGAGGAAGAGGAATTCGATGAGGAGCTTGAAGATGAGGCTGAGCAGGTAGGTCCACCAGAGGCCGCCGTGCTTCTTGCCCGCGTTGTCGTACAGCTTGGCGCACTGGTCGCCGTGTTTCTGGCGGTGCCGCCGCTCCCGCTCCTCGCGGTAGGCCACGTGCAGGATGACCAGCAGCGACGGGCATGTGACGAAGATGAGCTGCAGGGCCCAGAGGCGGATGTTGGAGATGGGGAAGAACTCGTCGTAGCAGACGTTGGTGCAGCCTGGCTGCTTGGTGTTGCAGTCAAAGTCCTTCTGCTCGTCCCCCCACACGCGCTCCGCAGCCACCACGTACACCAGCACGCGGAAGACGAACACCACCGACAGCCAGATGCGTCCGAAGGCTGTGGAGTACTTGTTCACCCCGCTCAGTAGGGCCTGGAGCGTCTTCCAGTCCATGGTGCCTGGCGGGGGCGCTGGGGGCCGTGCCCGCCTGACAGGATGGGAAAACCGGTCTGAGAATGAGTAGATGACATTTATAGAGCATTTACTATGTGCCAGGCGCTGTTCTGAGTTCTCTATGTGGATGGATTCGTTTGATCATCCCAACGACCCTATGAGATCAGGACTGTTATTCTTCCTAAGCTACAGAGAGGAAACGGGCACAGAGAGGCTAAGTAACCTGCCCAAAGTCACAGAGCTATATGCCGGAAGGAAGGGAATGTGCATTTGCTGATAATAACAGTTATTATTTATTGAGCATTTACAATGAGCCAGGCAAGGAGCTAAATACTTTATGTGCTGGATCTCATTTAATCCTTATAAGGACCTTGTGAGGTAGACACTATTATGCTTCTCATTGACAGATGAAGAAACTGATAATCAAATAAGAAAATGATTGCAAAGCACTCAGTACACAGTAAGTGCTCAATAAATGCTGGCTATCCATTGTGAAATCTAGAGCGGTCAAGTCACTCATTTAAAACTAGAATTGGGGCTTCCCTGGTGGCGCAGTGGTTGAGAGTCCTCCTGCCGATGCAGGGGACACGGGTTGCTCTCCATTTCTCTGCTGGACGCCTGCCCCAGACCAGCTTCTCAAAACTTATCTCGTTGATGCCTCGCTATCATCCTGTGAAGTTGGGGCGATGAACCCCAGATAGGAAACTGGGGCTTGGAGAGGGGAAATAATCTCCCCAAGGTCCCACAGGCAGTGGGTGGTGAAGTTGGGAGACCAGTTCAGGTTGTGGGGGGAGGCGCATGGAGAGGGTAATGGTCTGGTTCCTGGGGACACCAGACCCAGGAAAAATCTAGGGACACCCTCCTTCCCTGTGCCAGAACCTGAGGGAGCCCCAGACACACCAGCAATCCGGGATGCCGGAGCTTTGTGGTGGGGAGTCATGCTTTGTTCAGGTCCCCAGATCACACATCTTCCTCCTAGTCCTGGAATGACTCAGAGGGTGTGGACAGGTGGGTCTGCCTGAGTGCACCTAGTGTCTACATGCTGCAAAGGGTGTTGGGAGCATGTGCCTCTCCGTGTGTATGTGTGGGCTTGTGTGCACACGTGAGTGCTCCTAGAGCTGCTCTGTGACTCTGAGCATGCGTTCTGACTGAGGGTCCACCCCTGCATCACCACTTCTCACCCCTCCACCGCCACCCCCTGCTCCAAACCGCCATCACCCTTGCTGGTATTATTACCAAAGCCTCCTGGCTGGCCTTCAAGTGTCTGCTCCTGTGCCCACAGAGTCCATTAAATTGAATCATGTCACTCCCTTGTTTAAAACTTTCTACTAGCTTCTCATTACACTGAGAATAAAACCCCAGTTTCTACATTCTTACCCTACTCTCCTACACTCTCCACCTGCCTCTCTGCTCGGGCCGCAATGGGGGCCTCTGGGGCTTTGTAATTATTCCTGCT